CGTAAGACGAACATGTCCGTTCTTGTTTTACCTCTCCCTTTCAGACTTTTTTAAATTTTAACGGAAAAAATATAGAAAAATCTAGACTTTTTTGCTTTTTCTTCTGCGCGCGCAGAATAATTTTTGTAAAGTAACATCGACGAGAGGGGGATGATATCGTCGGTAGCGTTACGAGTCCGTTTCATTCGAGTCTCGTCGTTCCTAGCTCCAACTTCATGAGCAAGCTAGCAAGCAAGTACTGTACTTCTTAGTTTTGACCCATCCAACTTGGATTATTCGTGTCATTTGGTGCTACAGCGAAGTAAGAATAATGGACGGCTTAAAAGTCGCCAATAATTCGAGCAAATGTACTCCAACCCGAATTGCTTCAAGCCGCGTAACAACGACGTGGGAAGAAATACACGATTTCATATGCTGTTTACGACAACGTATGGTCTCAACAACTCTCATACGAAGACGATTCAAATATGCCGAGTTGTATCACTAGAGACTCTGAGATGAAATTTGCTGTGGAACAAGTATCTAGCAATGCGCGACATTTGATAAGAATATTTTTGTGATCACCGATGTAAATCAATGCGCTTGTCAATAATTGCGGCGTCGACATGGGCCTGATCGAGGCCAAGCTTATCGCCCGATTTCCGGCCAACGGTGTTAGTCATTCGGTTTGCGCGGCCTCTGGTTTCGTCATGCTGGGTTTCGTCGCGCTAGTTTTACTCGCGGTCGCGTAGTTTTCGAGGTGCAAAAGCGTGTTGTGACGTTTTTGGCAGATCGTACAATTCGAGAATTTACAGGGAGTATCTCGATGGGAACGCAAGCAATTGTAGCAAACCTTGGCTCCCTTTACGAATTCGATACGCTTCGGGACAGATAGTCGCTTGAACTTATCGCATAGATACAGCGGATGCCGTTTTATCTTGCATGCCAAACAATTACGCGACGCGTTCAAAATGAAAGCGCGATTCGTAGCACAACACTTCCTTTTAGCCGAAGGCTCGCCTTTGTCCCTCTCTATTTCCGTAACTTTCGATCTTTCTCGTTTAGATGCGCACACCGCGGTTTTGTACAAAAACTCGTACATATCATCGAGTTTAGGAAACTCATCTCTTTCGAGAGTCAATTCCCATTTTTCTAGTGTGATCCTTGGTAATTTACTTTCCAACATATGGACGAGCATTTCGGGACCGACGGACACTCCCAAGGCCTTCAATGACGCGACGTGTTGTTGAGTGTCGTCCGCGAGTTTCGAGAGCGCGCTTGACGTTTCTCTTTCCAATACGGTCATGTTCGTGATCATAGAAAGATGCCGCGAAATTAGGATGCGTTTAACCTCATATGAGCGTTCTAACAACTCCCAGGCCTTGGTGTAATGTATTCCGTCAATCTCTAATATTCTCGTCTTATTGGCTGCTTCACCCGTTAAAGCCGATTTCAAATAATGTAGTTTGTCTATATCGGACAAATCGGTGCGCGACCCGATCATATTCTGAAACGCATTTTTAAATGACATCCACAATTCGTATTTACCGTCAAACGTTGGTAAAGGCGCTTCGGGTAATTTAATTCGCCGCGTTTTCACGACCGACGCGTTCTCAGAGTTATCGGTTCGCGTTTCGATGCTCGAATTGCCGGAATTTGAAGTATTTGGTGTATCTAACAAAATGTCTTCGATTTTTCCCGCGATAGCATAAAACCGCTCTTGAATGGCAACGAATTCGTCATGATGAGCGTCGTTCGGATCCGCCATAGCGAGCTCGTCGTTGTGCTCTTCGAAAGCATGGTATAACTCGGTTAAGCGCGCGATTCTTAATTTTAATGTGGCGTTGTTTATGCTGCCCTTGTCTATGAGATTGGATAAAGTGGTTATTTGGGATTTCAAAGAGGTTCTTTTCTGTAGGAGATACTTGACTCTATCTGCCATGGCTGCGTCGTTTAGTATCGATGAGGATTCAAATGACTTACGTCAATTCACCAGGCCGTATGCGTGTAGACCTCTGTATGAGCAATTGATTTGCTAATCTCGACGATTCAGCTGACTCGTGTACGGTCGACGATTGATTCTCGTAACTTAGATGACCACGGCACGGTATCCTCTGCCGTTGAGCTCGTACGTGTTCATACCTCACAGGAGGCACCAAAATGTTCCATAGGATTCAGCACAATTTAATAACAAATTATTCTTGCACTGTCTTTTCGTATTTATTGTCTGGTATCACAAGTAAATTCTTTATTTCGCATTACATTGAAAATTATTTACATTACCACGATGCAACGTATTACGACGAGTATCGTTCGTTCGCATAGACTTCGATTCACTGATATCGACGACGCCTAGAAGCTAATGCCCTGAGTCGATCAATGAAGACGTTTAAGGGCTGTTGCCCAAATATTTAAGTTTGGTACGGAACTCGCGACGACGCACAGTGGACGGAAAGGCTCCTTTTGTGGACAAAATTCGACCGACGCTCTAATTCTTAACCGATTTTAAAGTT